AACCCCGACTTTTTTGGATTCGTGGTCCTTTTGGCGATGTATGTACGTAAATTTGGTCCCTCGTAAAATTGAAATGACTATAATGCCCTTATTATATTTATTTTCCATTTTCTTTTTTTTACCTATAAATAATTATATATAAAAAATAAAAATAGGGTCCCACATACTCTCTCTCTCTCTCTCTCTCTCTCTCTCTCTCTCTCTCTCTCTCTCTCTCTCTCTCTCTCTCTCCTCTCTCTCTCTCTCTCTCTCTCTCTCTCTCTCTCTCTCTGATTAATACGATCATACAAACCCAGATGTTGGGATGAATCGTATGAAGATCTGGGTTTAGGTTCAACAAACATATGATACCCCAATAACACAAAATCAAAACGGAAATCCATCACACCTACATTAAAACCCATCTGCAAACATGATTTTCTTTTAATAACATTTGAAGATACCATAACAACAAGAAAAACACATCATATTTTCTAGGTTTTTTTGAAATCACATACACCCTTCAGATTTTCTAGACTTCTTCAAAATACACATACACTTATGAACATAGATACTCAAGAAAAAAACACATATGATTTTCTAAACACACACACTGATGAATATACATACTCAAGAACAACACACATCAGTAATTTTAAAACCGTCAACCTAAATTTCAGTTTTTTAACCTAATTTTCAAGTCCATCAAATTCAACTTAAAACCTATATCCATCTTCTAGATCAAATTCGAAAAAAGAGTAATTGAAATAAAAATCCATCACCTTCAACCATCAACCCTCCCAAATCCAACTGTTAGACCATTTTCGAAAAAAATAAAGCAAAAAAAACACTAGAAGAAGAAAGGATATGAAACTAATTAGTAAGGTGGAGAAGAAATCATATATAGCTTCCTTTTCTTCCAACGTTTCAAATGGGGGGGGGGGGGGGGGGAGAAACATCCAAGCACAGATGATGAAATCCTTCGAAAGCCCCCAATTTGTTTGTGGCTTCAATTGATTCCGGAGATACCAATAGATTAGGAGAAACAACGAATACAAACTCACAAACATGATGGTGGGGGTGTCGTTTGCTTTCATTCTCTTGCACCAAAGGAACGAAAGGAGTTTTACAGGTCAACGGTAGTAGGAGCGACGATGGAAGCGAGAAGGGTGGAATCGTGAGTCGGTAGGGATGAAGCTTTCATTCTGTTTGTAGCACCAACGGAAATCGAGATTTGGGTGTGTTCCCCACTGGAAATAGGAGAAGATGAGCAGGTGAGCAAAAAAGGGGAGATGAGTGGTGAGGATGAAGGTTTGTTTGGACATTGGTACGAGGATGAACATGATTTTGAAGATGCAACGATAAATGGTCTGTTTTTTTATTTTAAGAGAGAGAGAGAGAGAGAGAGAGAGAGAGAGAGAGAGAGTGAGAGAGAGAGAGAGATAGATAGATAGATAGATAGATGTGGGCCCAAAATAATTATTTATTTTCTTTTTCATTTAAATTAAATAGAAAAAACATAAAAAAATATATCATAAGGGCATTATAGTCATTTCAATTTTACGAGGGACCAAATTTACGTACAAACATGGCCAAAAGGACCACGAATCCAAAAAAAGTCGGGGTTTGAACTAAAACCCCAAAAAAATGCATAACACAGGGACTATTTTTGCAATTTTGTCTTGAAGTTATTTATCTAAATCCTTTATGATATGTATGGTCATATATTGTGTAGACCACCCTTATCTAAGCATATAGTATTAAGGTCGAGAATAATGTTATGGAAGCAGAAAGGATGTGTCACAGCTTCGGAGGAATCAAGGTCTCTCAACCACAATGTAGGGTGTATGCAATGCATTTTTATTTGTTTAGATCATGGTGCATATTTGAGATAATAAAGAATCATTTAATAGTTATTTTGCTCAAAGTGGCTTAGGATTTGGAACAAAAGAGCTAGTAAATTAGAGGGAACTTTCATCAAACAGGTAGAAAAAGGGAAAACAATAACAAAATGGTTGAGGGACTGGATTCCACTGATCATATCATCCGGTAGCTCTTGGCATAGTTGTATGGAATCTCCCAGTAACCAAGTGCTGTAAGAAAAATAGATGAATATGAAATGATATCTCTGTCAGGCATTTCATCGAACATGTTAAGTATATTCTGCAACATCCTGGTAGTTTGAAATTTAGAGTAGTTAGCAATAGCATAAACATATCCTGTATATTCGAGTGCCATAAACATTTCACTGCATAATTTCCAAAGACAAACACAATTTGGTAAAATAATCCATATATATTTCTGAAATTCAAAATTCAAAAGCTAATATATAAATAGTTGATGTATGTACTATGTAAGTATCTAACACATGAAAACAGAAAACGCACAGTTTTACTTCTTCTGGTCTTTGGATTATAATAATTATTATATGCAGATTAAACATGTTAAATTTTTTACTGTCCAATACAAATCCCTCGGGTTTCATGTAGGCATTTCAACGAGCACTTGCTGTGCAACAAACAAATATATAAACTGACACAGACAAAAAAAAAGGATCAATTTTCTTCAGAAAAGTGGGACATTTCAAATAAATTAGTTAGTGATATGATTTAAGGAAATCATCAATGACATTGTATTATCAACAACACAGTCACTCAAAAAGGAAGAATTCTGGCCAAATGGTTTCCCATATGAAGCAGAGCATTCCAATTCCATTCGTGAATACAAAATAAAAAGTCTTTCAGATAAAGAAAAAGAAATTCTTAAAGTTTTGAATGAGAACAACAAAAAGTGATAGAGGTGAAGGGGGTCGAGCTACACAGTTGCAGAATTGTAGTTTTGATCAATCAAAAAAACAACAAAGTGATACACGATGACAAGTTTTTATATTTGAAAGCGGAAATTACACAGAATCGCCATTCTTTTCACTTCCATCCCTAACCTTTGGATTTGTTTCGATTTTGGTCGGATATAGGCCTTATTGATTTTCTTTTACTTTTTTTTTATACTATTATTGTATTGACAAAATATTAATTAATTAAGAGGTCCCACTCTGCATCCCTTTCCTAATCTTTTTTTAATAATTCAGAATTGTTAACAATGGGCTCCACAAAAGGTAATTCCTAGCCTGTTTTAGAATGCCCAAATATCCTCCTGGGCCCAACGAATTTTTCACAAGTAGTATTGATGTGATGTGAGAAAAAGAAAATCATAAAAAAAACAAGGATTCATAATGTAAATGAAGTTGTTGGTGATTATTTGATTGTATCATTATATTAACAGCCACCATGAGCGTTTATATAATCTTGACTGTCAACATAAATGATTCTAAAAGGGCTGCTTCATAATATTAAATTTCCATGAAATTAGAAGCAAACCATAAGAAAAAAACAAAACTGAAGATTTGAAATAAACTACCACAAACTAGACTTCAATGACTTACAAGTCTTGGCAATTTGTCTTTATTATAGATATATTTTCCCATCTTGTCATATTTTGCAATTTGTATTTATTATCTTTTATCTTTTTCTCATCTTGTGATATTTTAATACCTGCAAAGCACAACCAGATTTAGCTGTTTAAAGAATAATTAATAATGAAACTACTAATATTGCATTATGTTTTTTTCCATTGCTCTTACTTCTTGCAAAATACCGAGTTTTAAACAAATTCTAAACTTTGCTAGGAAAATTATAAACTGGAGAAGCTATGAAGGTTAGTTGATGGCTAGGCTAATTACTAATGATTGAATCTGTTTTCTAACAGGTATCATGGAGAGTAAGTAAAATAAAAGTTTTATTGAATATACTTTCACGTATTTTTTAATTTAATACATGTACAAAGAAGATTATCTATCATATCACAATCAGCATCTCAGTTAAGGTTTAATTAGGTATACACACAAGAAGCACAGTATAACTTGGTGGTCTTAATAATCAAAACATCACTAAACTTTCACAATTTTTACATTTAATATAGAAACAAAAAAATAACTGTTTTATAATAATGCTCATATCAATTAAGATTCAATAATAGACACATCTAAGTTGATCATTTCAATAATTATTTTTACTAATGTATATTGGAGTTAACACATATTTTGGGAAAGGTGCTATCATGATTTTCTTCAAATGATCAACATTCGCCATTTATTATATCAAGAGGTAACCAACTATGAAATAGTCCCTAAAATTAGTTGGTGTGGGATTTAATCTTTCCACATCAACTAAAAGTTGCCACAGAAGATTCCATGTCAGCAAAGCTTGCTAATTATTGGCCATTACAGGTACTGAGCTCTGTTCTCTATTTTCAGTTGAACGACGTTTCTTTTGACTTTTGTTTTTTCTCTCTGTTGAATGGTGGGTCTTGGGTTTATTTTTCTGTTGAGATAGTTTTTAATTGATATGATAAATTAGATATGTTTCTGCTGAAACTTTTCTAATTGATTTCATAATTCTGTTTAGGGTGAGAAGTACTTTAAGGATAGGATATGAGATACATGGATTCTGTTAGATTAGGGGTTAATTCAATGTTTGTACATTCTGACTTTTTTTTGTATCCGATAATAAATATAAATTGCAAAGACTTGCAAGTCTTTGAAGTCTAATTAATTGGGGCAATTAGTTCCAATTCTTCATCTTAGCTTTTTCTTATAGACTGGCTCTAATTTGATGGAAATTAAATATTGTATGCTCCACACAAGCAGGCCAATAATTTGGGAAAAAGATATCTTTAATAAATACAAATTGCAAAATATCACAAGGTGGGAAAAGATACTTTTTTATAATAAATAAAAATTTCCATGACTTTGACTTGTAGTTTGGTTCTATTGCCATGAATTTGACTTGTAGTTTGGTTCTAATTTCAAGAAACTAAATATTGTATTTGTATTCCCCACACAAGTGGACGTACACCAATTTGAGGCCACCCAATTAGAATCATTCATCTTCACAGTATGAACTCTCATGGGGCAGTTCATATATCAATAAAAGCCAAAACTCAACAAAATTTTCATTTACATTATGAATCATTGTGTTTACTTAATTTTCTTAATTCTATTGTTCTTCATTGTGGCTAAAACTGGCAGCCAATTGGTGGTAGTGGGAGAAGGAGGAGGAGATGATACTTATAATGATGTTAACATGAAAAAAAAGTGTTTGGATAAGGAGAGACTGGTTCTACTTCTTTTCAAAGCTCCCCTTCAAGACCCATATGGCCATCTCTCTACATGGATAGCTGATAAACATGATTGCTGTGAATGGAAAGGAGTCATGTGCGATGAACAAACAGGTCATGTCACAGAGCTTGATATGAGCTTTTATAGTCTTGGAGGTGAGATAAGCAATTCACTGCTTAACTTAACCTACTTGAATCTTCTTGACCTTTCCTATAATTCTTTCAATGGAACCATTCCCTCCTTCATTGGTTCCTTGACTGAATTAAGGAAACTTGACCTTTCCCATAACTCTTTCTTTGGAACCATTCCTCCAGAGTTTGGAAACCTCACCAACTTGGAAGTTCTTCGACTTGGAAATGTTGAAAGGTGTAGAGTTGAAAAGGTAGAGTGGTTGTCTCATCTCTCTCATTTGGAAGAACTTGATATGGATGGGATTTCACTAGCAAAAGCAGATCATTGGGTAGATGTAATTTCGAGTCTCCAAAAACTATCAGTTTTAAGTTTAGAGGGATGTGAGCTGTCACAGGTCATGAATCCATATTCTTCATTTCTCAATTCTTCTTCTTCATCTATTGTTAAGCTTTATCTCAATGACAACAATCTCAACTCGTCCATGTATCGTTGGTTGTTCCCATTAACCAGCAATAGCATTCAAATCCTTGATCTTACCAGCAACATGTTAGATGGGATACCCAAATATCTTGGTAACCTCTGTAATCTAAAAACTTTTTACTTCGATAACAACTCTGCGGTTGTCAAATTTCCTGATTTTCTCCACAACTTGTCTGGATGCACATCCCTTTCATTACAAAGATTTTATGCTACAAGAAGCCAATTTACAGGTCCATTTTCCGATGAGATCCAAAACTTTTCATCCCTAATATGGTTGTACCTATCTGATAATCATTTAAATGGAAGTATAAGTGAGAAACTGTGGGAACTACCCAGCCTTGAAACTGTTATTGTTTCCTTTAATAATGTTACAGCTCCTTCCACATCTCACCTGTCAAGCCTTTCTTCTATACAGTCCATTGATCTGCGTTCTTCCAATATAGGGCCTCTCTTCCCCAAATGGATTCAGACACTCAAAAATCTCACCCGTCTTGATCTTTCCAATTCTGGAATTTCAGACACAATTCCTCTGGAGTTTTGGGACACGTGGCCTTCTCGTTTAGGTTATCTGAATCTTTCTTCCAACAACATTAGCACAAAAGTACCAGATTTATTATCAAATTTTGCCAACACTTCGGTGATAGATTTGAGTTTCAACAACTTTTATGGTTCAATTCCAAATGTTCCTTCCATTTTGTCAACATTAGATCTGTCCAGAAACAAATTCTCTGGAGGAATCTCCTTCATATGTCAAATTGTTGGTGGGCCATTATCTTTTCTTGATCTCTCTCATAACTCCTTAACCGGACAACTCCCGGACTGTTTGTGGCATTTCGAACATCTAGAAGTTCTTAATCTCGGACACAACAATCTATTTGGAAGGCTTCCTCCCTCTATTGGATCCTTGGTAGAACTCAAGATGTTGTATTTATACAAGAACAACTTCTCTGGAGAATTGCCTTTGTCTTTAAAGAATTGCACAAGTTTGATCTCATTGAATTTGGGGGCCAACAAGTTTTCTGGTAATGTGCCAGTTTGGATTGGGGAAAACTTATCAGGGTTGTATTTTCTAATCCTAAGATCAAACAACTTTTTTGGAACCATTCCCTTACAGTCATGTCAATTAGCAAATCTTCAAATTCTAGACCTGTCAATGAACAATCTCCAAGGAACCATCCCCTCATGTTTGAGTAATCTTACAAGTATGGTTCAACAAGTATTCTCAGAAGACGTAACGTATACTAGAATTCTAGGAACAGAGGCTGTTGTAGCTGACACATATATTGTCCATGCGATGATTGAGTGGCAAGGAGATGAACGTGAATTTTCTACCACTCTGAAATTGGTGAAGAGCATTGACCTGTCAAGCAACAATTTAACAGGACAAATCCCATATGAAATTACCAATCTTCATGACTTGGTGTCCCTGTCCTTGTCAAATAACAATCTATTTGGAGAGATTCCGCAGAAGATTGGTAAGATGGAAAACCTTTTGACTTTGGATTTATCCAGAAACAATTTTTCAGGAGGGATACCACCAGACATGTCTCAGATGAGTTTACTGAATTACCTAGACTTGTCATATAATAACTTGTCTGGAAGAATCCCATCTAGCACACAACTCCAGTCCTTTCCACCTTCAACATACAGTGGAAACGCACGTCTATGTGGACCTCCCCTTACCAAAAAATGTCCTGGAGATGAAGAATCAGAAGTACCACCTCTGATTGGTAAAGGTGAGGGTGATGGGGAAGACACAGATGATGAGAGATGGTTTTATCTTGGTGGGGGCATGGGTTTTGCTACTGGATTTTGGATAGCATGTGGCAGTTTACTTCTCAACCGCCGATGGAGACATGCATTTTTTCACTTTTTTGATAGCTTCAAAGATTGGGTTTATGTCAAGGTGGTTGTGTTCATTGCAAATTTTGCAAAAGGCTAGACAGATATAGTTTTTGACTTCTTATTTTCCAGTATAGAATGTAATATGGTAGTGGTTTTTAAGTACCCCATATCGATATATTTGCCACCAATACTATGGGTGGCCATTTTCCCTATTTTGTATGAGATAATATATCCTACAAAATTCGTATATTCGTAGTTAATAAAACACGATGAAAATTAGAGATGCACTAAAAAATCAGAAACCAAACCGGACCGGTGTACAAAAAACCAATTTGATACGATCAATTTTGTTTGGAACAAACCACCAATTTAATAATGATGTGAGAATCCATTAGATATCATACTTTGGAAGTAATTACACTTCCATTACATTTCGTAATGGAAAACATGATTAGTATCGGTTTTTTGCATCAATGATTCAAAAATGAATGAGCGACCGAAAATTACCCCCCAATAAGAAAAGTTATAAATGGAAATCGAAAGTGTAATTTACTCTTGAATTTATAGTTTCTATTATTAAGTTGTCTATTGTATCTGCAGCACATGTCCCCCGGATGACTATAGATGAACAAGTTTTTCAGAAAGAAACAGTTGAGAATAAAAAGGTAATAAAAAGTGTTTGAACTTGCATTATTTTTTTCCAATTTCTCCTAAAAGATGGAAAATATGACTTACTGATGTTTTAAATTTAACTGTGAAATTTTTATCCAAGGTTGTAAATTATGAAACTCATGTGATGATTCTAAATTAAAGAACTACACTGAAAATGTGGTTAGTTCTATTATAGATAGTTTTGAGTTTTTACTTGGTATGATATTCTATTTGCTATTCATATGGTGAGTAAAAGGTTGCTAATTATCTATTGGGTTCCTACATGTCGTGTGAGAAGGCATACACTTAAAGTCCGACCATAAGAAAAAGAAAAGATGGATGAATATGGAGATAGGCAGTGCGGTTCTAAAGGTGAAACCGTGAAAGTCAAGAGCTACAAAAAATGTCATTTGGTGGTAGACCATCAAAGTCCAATCTTATAAGGACACTTCTCTCAAAATCAAAATGAGGAGACCTGTTTAAGTTTTTAACATATTTATTTTAGTTAAGGTTGTTATCTGTCTAGTATCTAACTTGTGTTATTATCATCTATATAAGGGATAATGTCACTATTTAGCCACACTATTGGCATTTTAGTATTAATGTAGTCTAATGTGTTTTCAGTTACACATACGGTGTCAATTTAACAAGATAAATCGGTTATAAATATGATGTGTTGTCAACATGGTATCCTTCTTGTAAAATTTTGTCCACATTACATCCATCAATACAACCACCACCACCATATAGCACCATGAATTCGTTAGGATTTTCAGTTACATCAACCAAAAATTGTGAATAAAATGAAGGCTTTCACGAGTGATGAAATCATGTAGACAACATTGATGAGGGTGATGTTGGTGAAGGAAATGGTTATTTGATTTCTGTTTTTTCACAATAATATCAATTTTAAGTTTAGATAAAAATATACACATTATTTATGGTTTTATATTAGAATAAATTTAAAGTTTAATAAAGTAAGAATTGAATAAAAAAAAGTCCACATAAACGTCATATTAGCACCACATGGTTAGAATCAAATATGTAAAAAGTTTGACCTCACGCCTTCAAGAGATGCTTCCCAGTTTCACTAAAAGATTTTTCCAATTGCTACATTTTATTAATTTTGAAATCCCTTATGTTCATTTCTTTAGATAACACACTATTTTATTTATCAACACTTTCAATAATCAACCCATTATTTAGGACCGGCAATCCCAATGTGAAGCCCCCAACCCAACTCAGCAGCAAATTGTAGGCTGGGTTGAGATGTTCAACGCGTTTAATTAAATTGGTCAACCCGTTTATCATATTTAATTAAATGAGTTGGGTTAGGGTTGAGATTTTAATCCTGTTTACAACTCGTCAAACTGTTTAAAAATTTTAAATATTTATATAGTATTATTATTTAACTGATTGTTCTATTTTAATAAGTTTTTATTACTAAAAAATCTTGATTAGTAACCGTTGTTGGAAGTCGAGTTGTGTAGTATTTAAAAATTAAACATATATAATATATTTATGGTTGTAAACACTTGATTTGTGTTTGTATGATAGACGTATATACAGACTTTTCGTTGTATCAATTGAATCGATAACTAAGGTTACGACCTCTAATGACAGAAGTAGATTTATTAGGAACAAAGTTGTTTCCATTGAATTTCCGTTTAACATCAGCAAATGTAACTGCCCATTCTGGCTTTGACACAACATGTGACCAAACCTCCACCTCTTGGTCATTAAACTACTCGGAAATTGGATCATCTACCTTAACACCCTCATGAACAAAAAGAAACATAAGATTATGAGTAAATAATATTTTTGGTTCATGAGTATAACTGACTTTTTCAGTTATGGTCCCATAAAGTTTTAATCTTGCAATTTTGGTCCTTATTTGAGGTTATTGTAACATTTTTTGTCCTTGTTCCAAGCAACATGACTATTTTAATCTGCAATCATAGCTATTTTTTCAACTTTGAATAGGTACCTATGTTTACTCCTTTAAATTCAATAGGGACCAATGATTATGTTTGATTTTTCCATCTTTTAGTTTTGGTCCTTATTTGAGGTTATTGTAACATTTTAATCCTCAACTATAGTTGAGTTTTCCAATGTACTCTACAATATGCATTTGAAACCTAATGTTTACTCCTTTACTATCAACCCTCCTTCAACCTCACTTATCTTTTTACTGTATCTCTTTTATTTATCATTTAGTATAATAAAAAGCCATTAAAATGTCCTTTTCTTAGGCCCTGTTTGAAATGCTTCATACCGAGTCACATCAGACATTTTTGGCTGACTCGGTCAGCTGAAGCTATTTGGTAAACCTTTTGACTCGGAAATTGAAGTCTGACCCGGTAAGGAAGAAAGAATCGGCTGACTGAGAAAGAAAGACCCCGTGTTCCACTTGTGCCCTTGCTTGTGTATCCCTATGAGTTTGCGTGTGTATCATATCCCAGCAGAAAGAATCGATCCAACACCCACTTTGCGTCTCGTCCTTAATAGACTCACATAATCAATCGATCCAACACCCCCTTTGCTTTCTTAAAATCAATCACACCCCACTAAGTTTTACTCGTTTATATCTCTAGATCGATCGATGGACTCGAGGGACTGCCTCACCACTTTGGTTCGAATGGTATGTTTCCCCTTCTCATTTGTGTTTATATCTCCAACAACAGCAAGAAATCGGACACTACCCCTTCTTCTAAATCAATCACAGTTGCCTGTTGATTTTGGATTTAGACAATATGAAGAAATATTGAAGAAAAAGAAGGGACGCGATATGCAGGTGAATGTGGAGAACGAGATAGGCTTAACTTAAGGTATCCATTTTAATTTTTGAATATTTCTTCATATTATGCAAATGTCTTCAAAAACACGTTTTAATCGTTTTGTTTCATCACAAATTATGATTATAATATGTGTATTTGATAGCCTCCACTATAATCTGGCTCCGATTATGATTGTGAAAAATATCCAATTTGGTGGTCAAAAGTCAAAGTCTTGAGTTCACTGTATGGTAGATGTTGCTCTACAAATTTATCATGGATATCATAAATCTAATGTTGTAGGAAATAGGATATGATTGATAATTACTTAAAAATTTAACTTCGACATTTGTTCATATTAATGATTTCTAGAGTATATTATTCCTAGATATGACTTTTGTTGATGAATTGTACTATATGAGATGTTATATGATCGATCTTAAGAACAGAAAAAATAAAAGTATACTTTAATCGGTGCTAGGTGAAGCTCTCTGTAGCTATATATTATAGATAAATATATATATTATGTATGTTGGACATTTGTTGTTGCGATTGTATTTTTTTGTATGTGTTTGGTTTGAAATCAAGTGTCTGATCAGATGTACAATCAAATTGTAGGGTAAAATAGTCCTTTTTCATCAGTCAGCACATTCATTTAAATGTACAATCAAACAGCATGGTTTCTTACTCAGTCAAAATTTCTTTCCCAAATAGACATTACCCAATCAGCACTTTCTCAGTCAGTAACTATCAAACGGGACCTTAGGTGTCTCCGGTTGTCCAATCCAAATATTATAAAGGTCACAAGTATACTAAAAAAGTGCACAAAAAAGACAAAATAATAACACAAAGAATATGACATTTATCATGGGCTAATGTAGACATATACAATGCAATATGGATATTAAATGTGCATTAAGTTTAACCTTCATGGCTTCAAGGAGTACTTTTTGGGTTTAGTGTAGGATTTTTCATCCAGTTGCTCCACCTTCTTTATTTTAAAACTCATGATCCTCACTTCTTTAAGCAATGTATTATTGTATTTGTCAACACTTTCAAATGTGTAACATATACAATGTTGTTGAGATTAATGTAATAAATATCAACGTACTTTCATATATATGTTATTATATTGTTATACTTCCATTTCTTCCAATTATAACACCGTAGTTTTAATTGTATGGTTGGGACGAAGGGTCGAGCTAAATGTACAATGCTGGTGGGCTAAGTTTAATAAATAGAAAGATAAATTCATTTATTTTTGTTTTATGGCATCCCACTTTTCATTTCTTTCTATTATAGCATAATACTTTCATTTTTTATGAACGCATTATACTTTGAAAATCTATAACATTGTAGTAGTTAAAACTTATTTCTATTCGGAAAAATTTATATATCAGGGTAGATTTTGATAGATTTTATAAGTTATAATTAATACATAAAGCGAAAACAACTTAACCCTTAAGTTCACATGCAACATATTTTGGATCTAAGTTTTCTCTATTGAAAGCAATAAACAATTAAACATCATAAACACTAAGGGCACGTTTGGTATGAAGAAAGGGAATTGCACTGGAGAATAGAAATGCAAAGAAAGAGAATTAAACTGGGGAAAGAGAATTGATTTCACTGTTTGGTATAACTGAGAATCCACTAGAGAAATTTTTATGAT